GACAAGATCAAAATATTTTGGCGATTCGAACATGACTAAATTGCTAACAACAACATTTTTAATTCCAGAGTTTTTGTAGAAACATTTGTCTTGTTTGTTTATGGATCTAACTATACACAAATTTGGCCATGTCAAGAATTAAATAACTTTTAAAATGGATCCCCCCCCCCAGTTTTCTTGGAGTTTGAGCAGCTGGGAGCCCTGGATAAACATTCTATGCTTGTAACTGCAGTGGAGCCTCACCATCGCCATTTCTTGACTTCTTCAAGAAATAATTAAATCTATAGATAAAGAGAGATTTTCACTGTAATAGAGATAATATGCCTTGTAGTGAGATAAGCCCTTTTTTGAGACTCTAAAGATAAAAACAGTCTTCAATGACTTAATGATTTAAAAACTGGTTTCAAAAAGCTTAATAAGGAAAATGATATAAGAAATTTTCTAAAACAGAACATGGGGTCAGTTACTTCATTTTCATAATTTTTTTTTACAAAAGTGCTTTTGGATAAAGTTGCTAGCCGAAGAATACCAGACCGTAGATCTGTGAGGTTTTTTAAAAAAAATTGCTCAAGAGTGTACTGAATTGGATGACTTGCCATTAAAAAAATAAGTATTTTAACTATGTTATCTCATTGTCATGGTGATGTGACTGAAAGCTGTGGAAAGTGAAAGTGTTGAAATTATAGAAGCTCTTTTTTTTTTGCTTCTGGATTTTAATTGAAAATAGCTACCACTAGAAGGGTTTGATTGATCAACCCACTGAAAAAGTAGTTACTCCTGAGTTATTGTCAAAAGCATTTTTAGATTTGATGGACAATCTGGGACTGGTTGTTATGTGGAGACAGAAAGTGGTAATTCAAGAGAGTATACTTATTTTCAGAAAGACATAGAACTTTTTCAAGAACATATATGATTTGGACTTCTAGAGTCTTAGCTACTAAGTTGTCTAAAGCAGAGATTTTATGAAAGACTTTTTCAGATCACAATCTTGTAAGTTTGGTTGTTAAAAGAAAACTTAGTACTTACAGTTGGAGACTAAATGAAGCATTGCTACAAAAAGATGTGATTGTTAAGGACTGTAAGAAACCATTAAAAGAATTATTTAAAATTAATTCAAACAAAGGTACTGATATGAGAATTGTATGGGATGCAAGTAAAGCTTTCATTAGAATTCACCTGATGCAACATAATTCTGAACTGAAGAAGAGATAAAAGAAATTTAAAAATATTTTGGATGAAATTAAGAGAAAATAGGATGAATTAAACAATTTTCAAGGGAATATAAAAAATTCTCACCAAATAAGAATCTTGCAACAGCAGTTATCCATGTTAACGATAAGAGAAATGGAAACAACATTGAACTATGTAAAACAAAGAAATTTTGAATATGTTAATGGTTGGCATAAAATTGAGAACAGAAAGATGAAAAATTATATTGAAACTACAAGAAGGAGATATTGTACTAATGGACAATGTGGCTGTTCAAAAAGCATTTTATAAATATTCTAGTTTGTATGAAGGACAAGATGTGTCATTGGTGAAAACTGATGAATGTCTCAGAAAACAAAATTTATCTAAGATTTCAGAGGAACAAAGTCAAATTATGAATAGACCTATAACAATAAGAGAAGTATTTTCCTGTTTTGATTTTTTTATAGCTTCTAAGTATTAGAAGCTATAAAAAAATCAAAACAGGAAAAGTTCCTGGACCAGATGTGTTATCCGGTTTGAGGATTAAATGCCAGAGGCATGGGAAAAGGCCAATATCATATTAATACCTAAAGACAGACAAGATCTGACTCTGACAAGAAACTATAAATCAATATCATTATTGAATAGTGATTATAAATTGTTCACAATGATTTTAGCTGAAAGACTGAAAACAGGTCCATATCCAGGATCTTCAGGCTTGTGGGACAATTTTTTCTTCTTCTGGGGCTGCTATTATTTGCTATTATTTTAACTTAAAATAAAAAACAGTAGAGGAAAATAAAGGAGAGGAAGAAAATCAAGCCCTGGAGCGGGGAACTAGGGAAAGCAAGCTACAGCTTGGGGGTGGCATGCTGGGGAGCCCCACACTAGCTCATCCCAGCCCAGCGCCTAAGCATTGGCAGTTCCATAGCTCCCTGCATGGGAGGGGGAGAAGCCGAGACTCCCCCTCCTCAAGCAATAAAGTGGTTTCTCCCCCTCCCTGACAGCACTGTCATGCAAAGCAGCTGCAATAAAGAATCTGAACTGGACATTTTTTTGTTAAAGGTATTAGAAGATAAAACTTTGGAGACAATTTTATAAAATGGGTGAAATCACAGACAACACAAATAATTGTAAATAGAGACTTAACTAAATCATGTGGGATTCAAAAAGGTCGCCCATTGTCCCTTCTGCTTCTTGAAATTTTGAACAGTGATATAAGATATAAGATATGATGAGAGGACTGGGGGTGTAAAGATTAAAAAAGAGACCTATAAAATAAAAGCTTTTGCAGATGATTTGGTGTTAGTATTGGAAGACCCTTTAAAGGGGATTGAATTATTAGTGGCTAAATTGAAAAAGGGTGAATTAGTGGATTTTAAAATTAGAAAATAGATAACAAAGATGTTAACAAAAATATGAAAATACAAGAACAAATAGCACCGATGAATAAAACTGGTTTTAAGTTGGGAAAAAGGTAAAATACCTTGGTATTACATTGGTATTACATTGACAAATATGGATTCTATGTTATATCAAAATAATTATATTAAGACATGGAATGAAGTTAAAAAAGACATGTTAAGATGGGATAGAGTGCAACTGACTTTGTTAGGGAGAATATCTATTAAGATGAAGATGAATGTTTTACCCAGAATGTTATTTTTGTTTCAGACAATACCTGTTTTGACAACTGATGTACCATTTAAACAATGGTAGAAAGATATTTCTAATTTTGTATGGCAAGGGAAAAAAACCAAGAGTTAAACTTAAGGTATTACAAGATGTAAAGGAAAGAGGAGGTCTGGGGTTACCTGATTTGAAATTAAACTTTGCTGCTTGCTGTTTAGTTTGGTGAAATAATGGCTATTGAGAAATAGGAGGTTATTGGAGTTAACACATTATGATTTGAGATTTGGTTTGCACAGTTATTTGTGGTATGACAAAGCTAAGGTCAATGTGGATTTTAAAAACCATTATATTAGATGTTCTATTTTAAGAATATGGAATAAATATAAACCTAGGTTATGTCTGAAAACAACCTTGTGGCTCTCTACACAAGAAGCTTTTTATAGTAAAGAATTGATACCAAAGCATAAATGATTAACATATTGTGACATACCAGAAGAGAAGATTTGGTAACAGAAGAATAAACTTACTGAGAGTTTTTTTTATGCACAACAATGAGAAAGGTTTAAAATGGGTAAAGATTGTATGGTTTTGTACGATCTTAAACTGAATTTGAAACAGAATTATTTACAAATGACGAACATGTTATTGCCAAGATGTTTAAACTCTTGTTGAAATTTGAGACAGAGGATGAACAAGTGAAAGAATCTATAATAAAATGGGTCCAAAACTTTGGATATAATATACAAATGGAGCAATAGGAAAATATGTGGATAAAGGGCCTTACATTTACACTGAGTTCTAGTCTTAAAGAGAATTTTTATAAAATTATGTATCATTGGTATAAATTACCAGAGAAATTAGCAAAAATGTATAAGAATATTTTGAATGTATGTTGGAAATGTGAACAAAAAGAAGGGACGTGTAACAACGTGAAAAAAATTGGATTCAAATATATTCATTAATCCAGAAGATTCTAAGGACTAATATACAATTGAAACTAGTTCTAAGGACTAATATACAATTGAAACCAGAGGTTTTTCTTTTGTGACTAATGGACAGACAGCTAGAAAAAAGTCATGAAACTTTATTTCTATATATGACCATGGCAGTGAGACTATTGTATGCACAAAAATAGAAAAGTTCAACATTACCCACAACAGAGGAATGGTTGGTGAAGATGATGGAATTTGCAGAGATGGCTAAACTTCCTTCTTTGATTAGAGAAAAGACATTAAATGATTTAATTTTAACTGGAAACTTTTTGCATGAAACAGAAAAAAATGAAATGATGATTTATGGATGTAATTAAGTATGTAATTTTACTTATATTTATCATGGAGAAAATCGGAAACCACTTCTTTTCTTCTTCTCTCTTTCTATTTTTTCCTTTCTTCATTTTTTTATTTTCTTTAATTTTGTATTTCTATTTCATTTTTTAAAATATCTGTAAGTTTTTATCTTTTGCTTTAAAATTCTTAATAAAATATTTTTTGAAAAAGATAAATGATGAATGAGGGGTGACATGATAGAGGTTTATCTTTTTATGCATGAGATAGAAGGTCGAGAAAGTAGTTCTTTTCTCCCTTTCTCACAATACAAGTACTCATGGGCACTCCAACATGGCTTCTCTTATGTTCTTAAATGCTGAATAAAATTTGGCATGAAGAAGAAGAAGAAGAAGAGTAGGGTTTGATACCCTGCTTTTCTCTGCCTTAAGGAGTCAGTGTGGCTTACAATCACATTCCCTGCAGTATTGCCTCCTGCTACCTGGCTGACAGTTTCTCACATTATCCCAGCAGCTTAAGGGATGCTTCTATGCCTCTGATTTCTGTAGTTTCATTTACGAGATAATCAATGAAAATATAAAGCCTCTGGTGGACTACCCAACATGACTGGTGATCTATATTCAGTTTGGTGTGTGATGTGTTGAGTGCTATATTAAGACCCTGGTAGTGCTCTCCAAAATCTGTTGATTTTAATAGTGGAAAGCAGGATAAAACCCAGTTATTCAGGCTAATTCTTGAGTATTGTCAGATCTGTTTTTAAGATAAATATGAATCCTTAAGGTCAACAGGTCAAGCCACCCTGAGCCTGCTCTGGCAGGATAGGATGGGATATAAATTAGAATATAAATAAATAAATAAATAAAACAGTAATAAATCTTTTTTTAACCTTAGGGTCAGTGTGCAGTGGTCCAATTTTGGTCAAAAGCATTAGAGATGGTGATGTGGATACTGACTCTGATGGTCCTCATGCATTTGGACTGCTAAATGCAAGGAACACTGCCTGGGTTTCTCAAGGCAGAGGTAAGAAGATAAAACTTCATTGTGAAACCCAGCCTTGTGGACAATGTATCAGCACCAAGAGTGTTGGAAGTGATCTACGTGAGGACATCACTGATGCTTACAAGTATGAATTAGGTAACAATGAATTGATTTTACTAGAGTAGTAGAAGTTTAAATGGTTGCTGATGTAAAATAAGTATCTTTTCATAAAGTTTTAATATTTTCCTGCTTTCAGGCTCTGTGCAAGAGAAAAAAGCCCTTTATAAAGCCAGTCGAAAAATTAATTCTCGCTATCTAAATGCTCCCAATTCTGAGATAGACAAAGATTTAGCATCTCAAAGAAACAAAAGTCTGAAAGACATTGGGATTGCGATGAAGTTTAAGATGGCTAATTGTCCCTTGTATGGTCAAGATGTTCAAATGAACTGGGTGCTTAAAAACTTGTGTAATGAAGCCAAAGACAGGAAATTTAACCTTTGTGCTCAGGCAATGATGTACAATGGATGTTTACTGGACCAGGTCTGGAAAGACAATATTCATGTCACACTTGGCCCAAAGGAAGGTAAGACACATTGAGATCATTTCAATGTAGAAACTCAGATGTATGCTGGAGAAGACATGATTGATAGATTTTAAATAATTTGACACTGTGGTTCTGAGTCACTCTTCTGCTGTTTGTTCCATGAACGAAAGCTGTTAATAATAGCGTAGCTGAAGAAAGCCTCCTTGCCAAGTCACTTGTTAATGCTAGCTGTTTTATTATCATGGGAAAACACTCTTATAGTCTTGCCAAGTCACTTGTTAATGCTAGCTGCTTTATTATCATTCTCTGTTCTGTCAGTTTCCAAAACAAGGGACTTATTGTAGCAATTATGGTGGATTGGATCCATGAACCATTAATGGAATTATTTCATGAAATGAATCTCTTCTCTTCTGCAGCCTCCTGCATAAATTGCTCCTTAAGGTCAGAGGACTCCAGGGAAGAGAGGTTGGGCTGCAGCAAGAAGGGAGAATAGACAGAAACTGCTCTTCCCCAGTCTTGTGAAAGCTGTGCAATTTTCATGGGGGAGCTCAGGCAAATGGGGAAGGGGTGATTTCTGCCAATTTCTTCTCAGGATGCAGCTGCTGAATTGCATTGCAGTCAGGATACTCAGGAGTGTCTTTTTTCAGATGAGGGGTGCTACAGGGGAGCTACCATGACAGAGATGTCTTCTGTGAACTCATTCTATTCATGGTTGATTGGATCCCACCCAATATTAATTTTTCAGTTCCTTGATTCCAAATACAATGAACTGAAAGGAAGTATCACTGCTTCGTGGAAATTATTTTTAAGCAAATTTGAACATATCATATATTGTGACAAATGTGTTGTCTAAAAAGGAGGGATTGTCCATGTTCCATGTGTGGAGTTTTGAAAACTGCTTCCCTTTGATCATTTAGCAATGTATACACTGTGACTGCTTACATGTAGTTCTGTAATTAATGATTAACTCCCTGGAATATATATAAAAAAGATCTATTTAAATCATTTTCTGTAAAAGTGATGATGCCAATGTATTTGCTTCTCACTCAAAATCTTTGTCTTACAGTAAAGACAATCCTGATAACAATACCATATGATGACTATGGATCTCACCTTTGTGATCATAATATTATGAGGGTGGTGGCTGTCTCGATGCCCGAGCGTAAAGGAGAAGTCATGATGGTGGAGAGGGATGTCTTAGTTGACAGCCTACCTGTTGAGATGAAGGTAAAGATCCTCAGAGCATTTGTAGAGAGTCTGCAACTGCAGTACACGTTAACAGAAGTCAAAACCAAAGGCTACTTACATTAAATACAAACTGGATCCCCAATGAGTGGTTCAGCCTTAAAAAAAATGCTGTGAGAGGGCCCAAACTGCGGAGAGGGGGCATAAAAAAAGGGAGAGTGTTAACCCACAATATTTTCCAACTGAAGATACCCCCCCCCAGTTTTACTAGGTTTTTAGGGGTACTCTATGTGGAAGGAGACCCAGTCATGTTCTGCCACCATAACGTGTAATTTGGCCATTCTTCTGTTTTCCACCATATGGGTCAGGTAGGCCTGAAGAAGCTATTTCAGTTTTAACAGCACTATAAAAAGAGTTCTAAAGGTGTGTTAAATATTTTATTTTAGTAAATGTTTATACTAATTGTTGTAAAAAATAGTCAAAAGTATTTAAATTACTCAGAGTATCAATGGATCTTGCTCTATTGGAAAGAAGAGATTTCTTTGCTTTTAAAACCTTTATTTCGAAGGGTAAAGGTTCACAGGAAAACTACAAATAAACAAAACTCTAACAGCTACATTTTCTAAGCTGCCTATAGTTGAACACTAACACACAGATAATGGAGAATCTGTCCTTCTTCTCGAACCCTAGAAAGGAAGTCACCTGAAAACAAACAACCGATCTGTATCACAATAGAAACTACTTTTCCCGGGCTAATTCCCCATTGGCCCAATGCCAGGTATCCCTTCCAGGTTGGTCTAATCAATAGCAATACTAGGCAAATAAGTTAACCCTATAATGACTGGATTGTCAGACCTTGTAAATACATATATTTCCAACACTAATGAGTATAACTTGAATCTTAATAACTGAAGAAATGTAATCTCACCCAATTTCTTTTGTCACTGCAGACCCCTGTCCCCCTTATGAAAAGTGCTTTCCTTTGGTGGTAGGTGCTATTTAGCTCTTTGAAAGACATTGGCCTTTCATCAAAGGAAAGCTGTAGCAGAGGACCATTTTACAATGGAGGATTACCTCAAGGGATCCAAGCCTATAATTTGGGATTTGGGAACAATGTCCCGGTAAAAATAAGTGCTTCTTCATGTTACACTAGATTTTAGACCATCCCCAGATGAACGCACCATGCTCTGCAGAAGTCATTTTCTCTAATCCACTCAAAGAGGACCTGAAGAATTGTATGCTGCATCTGGAAGGCTATGGGCTAATTGGTGAACCAACAGCTACTGAGTAAGTTAAACTAGAAAGTTGCTTTATACATAGGTTGAGGTGACACATGGCTCTTTTTTCTGTGTCTGCTGTCTCTACCAGGGATGAAATTTCATTCAGAATTTTTTAAAATTACATAAGTGATTTTCATGATGGCATAGACACTTAATCAACATTAATCCATGACATTCATATCAAACAACATTTGCATAAGTTGGTGGCAGAAACAACCTTGGTCAACCTGATGGATGATCTTCAGTGAGAAAATGACAGTGAGAGTGCATCCCTGTTGATTCTCCTGGACTCTCTGCAGCATTCAGTACCACCAACCATAGTATCCTTCTGGAGAGGCTGGTTGAGTCTTACTAGACTGGACAATTCCAGAAGGCAGTGCTGGGAGACTACTGCTTGGGCCCATAGCATTTATACTGTGAGGCCCTGAGGGGTTCAGTCTTATCTCCCAAGCTGTTTAACATCTTACAGGGGTGTCGAACTCATTTGTTGCAAGGGCCAGATCTGACATAAATATGACTTTGTCAGGCTGGGCCATGTGTGTCATAAAACATAATGCCAGGTACTGGAGATATAAACTGTATAAAGGACAGCAGCTGGTAAGCTCCGAGGTGGTGTGTCCTCACTGCAAGGCCCCATGGGATGGGGAGGAGGTACAGAGGAAAACCGACATGGGCGGACTGAAGAGCCAGTGGTGCAGTGTGGGGCAGATGCTGCCGGGACTGAGGTGGTGCTGGTCAGTGACAAAGCTGCTTGAGGACTGAGAAATTTGCCTGTCCTGGAGGGGTTGCACTCCCCCTGAACAGGCTTTTAGCTTAGGGGTGCTGCTGGATCCTAAACTACAGTTGGAGACACAGATATTTTCTGTGGCACATAGTGGTTTTAATCAGCTTTGGCTGATACATCAGCGATGTCCTTTCCTTGAAATGTGCAATCTGGCCATAGTAATCCAGGTTAGATTACTGTAATGCACTTTACATGGGGCTGCCATTGAAAATTGTCTGGAAACTTCCACTTGTCCAAACTACAACAGCCAGGCTATTGTCAGGGGCAGGGATACAGGGATTGTATTACCACAATGCTGAAAGATCTGCACTGCATGCCTGTGTTTCCAGGCATATTTCAAACTTTGTTTCTCACCTTTAAAGCCCTAAATGGCTTGGTGACAGGGTACTTGTCACCAGAAGATCCATAAGCCGTGCTTTCTGTGCCCCTGCTATGAGAGGCAAGGCAGATGGCAGGACATCTTCAGTAGTGGCACCTTGTTAATGGAATGCCCTTCCCCTTTAGGCTCACCTGGTGCCTATATTGTTTTCTTTTTGGTGCCAGGCCAACATATTTCTGTATTTTAATTAAGGAGCTCATATTTTAATATATTTCAATTTTTAGTTTGAAAATTGTTTTTTTAAGCTGTCAGTGGTCTGTTTTCATGGTCGATGTTTTTATGCTGGGTGGTTAATGCTGGATTTTAATTAGTATCTTTCAACATTTTGTTTTTGTTATTTTTATTTTGTGTGTGATGCCCTGGGCAGAATCCTGGAGAGATGATTTTTTTTCTAAATAAATAATAAGTAGTTACATTCACAAATATGTTTTTCCTTTATCTTTTCTGCAGATTGGGAACTCTGTCTGCCAATCATATGGCACAAACTTGTGTGGAGTTTACTCCCTACAGGTATGGCAGACACCGGTTTATGGCCAGTATCAGCTGTGACAAGTTTTGTAACTGCAAAGGATATGCCACCATAGACATGGGCAGTCCACCAACAACCTCTGGAGAAGGAGGTGCATAAGCAATATAAACAAAATACATTCCAGGAGAGATATTTTACTTGGCATTGTGTTTACACAACAGACAAGTTTGTTCAGGTGTTAAAGAACTTTCATTAGTGAACTCTTCACGTCCAGTGCAACTACCCATTGATTTGCTTACTTTATGCCATCTACTGGTTTGTTAGGGAAACCAGCTAAGTGTTTAAAGAACAGCAATTGAAGATGACTATCCTAGATTGTGGTCTCAGAATACTGAACAGAAGCACTGAGAGTAATATTTATATAAAGTTCTGATAGATGTCTCTCCAAGAAGAATTTCCCCCCACCTTTTGAAAGGTTTGAACATTTTTAATTTCATTTAAGAAAATGATTGAATCTGAAATTGTGTGCATATTCCTTAGTTGTATCTTACTAAGAGGGCTTCTGCACATCTGGAAGATACACCTGTAAGTTTTTAGAGCCTGGAACCAAAAGTTAACTGGAAAATTAGTCTGTCTCCCGATTGCAGTGATTGGACAGCTTGTTCTTTACCTTAGGCTCAGGCACGAATGACAAAGCTCTCATTAATTCTGAAGACCTTGCAACATCCTCTTGATGGTAGTAGTGAATGCTATATGGAATGTACGGTTGGATCCAAATGATCCTTTCTAGTAACAGAGGAACTTTTTTTTCCAATAGAAGGAGACTTCCACGGAAGTAAGGTGCTTTGCAGTAAAATTATGTTTTACTATCAAGTCTCCTTGCACTGAGGGAAGGCTCCTTATATTGAAAGAAAGTTCCTCTGTTAGTAGAATGGATTGTTTGGATCCAACCCACAATATTTTAGGATCTATAGACAAATATTAGAGGAAAAGACCAAAGGCACAGAGAGATTTAACATGGAGTTCTGTGACCACTTTCTGGTTTTCCTTTCAGTTGTAGTTTTGACACTTTTAATACTGAGTACTCAGATACTTTAGAATTACTGCTTGAATTGAAAAGGATCAAACTGCCATTTAATTAAAGTCTTCTACACTGTCCCATCTCTAGTTCCAGCTCCTGACAACCTAGCAGTTCGAGAGCAAGAAATTGCAAGTAGATAAATAGGTACCACTTTGGTGGGAAAGTAACAGCGTTCTGTGCGCCTTGGTGTTTAGTCATGCCGGCCCCATGACCACGGAAACATCTTCGGACAGTGCTGGCTCTTCGGCTTTGAAACGGAGATGAGCACCACAACCCTAGAGTCGGATTTGACTGGCTTTCGAGCAAGGGAACCTTTACCTTTACTTTTTTACACTCTCAAAGCACTACCCCACCCCACAGCATTGATCTGCAGAGTGACACACATAAACCATACTATATCACAAGGAGAAAGTAAATATGCTATATGATGATAGTGGTGGGCAAATAGTAAGAACGTACACTTGCATTTAAACTAATGGGGGGGGAATTGAAATTAAAAGCCCCATTTATTTCTGTCACCCGGATAACAGAAATGAACAGGAAAACCAAATAATGAATGAGTGAATGAACTGGTGTGTTTAATTCATTTATTTGGTGTTTGGAAGTCTGGTTTAGACAGCTCAAGCACAGTTTAGTCTGGAAGGGCAGAGATTCAGTAGCATCTATCTGTCCCATTTTTATTCATCAAGGAGCTGCTTCCATGGTATCTTCACAACTTTTTGAGGGAGATAAGAGTGAGAGAGAAGTACTGGCCCAAAGCTACCCACTAAGATTCATGGCTGAGTGGGAAATTAGACTTTACTTTCTTTAAGGGCCAAGTTATACAAGACCACCATTCCCAGGTTTGCCTTGGGGATGCACCTCAATTTTGTAGTACTGGAGAAAGCTGTTTAAGAATACCATGGGAGCCTCATTCTGTCAGGACAACCACAGAGCTTGTTCCCCTCTCACACTATTTTTTCCAACTCAAATGCTCATACGCCTCCCACCATTTCAGATCAGAAAAACACCTTGGGGTGGGAGCAGTAGCCCCCCCCCCTGTGCCATGATGATTCTGAGCAGAATTAGGACTCTGTAGTGGTTATAAATGGCTTTGCTGTCACCACAAAATGGAGGTGCATTCCTGGTGCAAACCTGGGGATGGTGTCTTGTCTAGTTTGGCCCTCACTCATCTAGAAAGTAGCTCAAGTCACACATTCCTGTTATGGTAGGGAAGAATATGAGTTGACTGCAAGCTGAGATATATACAGTAGACTATTAATGTGTGGATTTTGGTGCCTAGAGCAAAGCAGCTTTGGGGATTTCAGGGTGCCACTTTTGCTTTCAAATGATTACTACCTGCTTTGTATGGGCATTTGTGCATCCCTAATGCCTACTCAATTGTACAAGTGTTAATAAAACAGATTATAAAAACAACAATACAAGTCTCCAGTGCTTTCTTTTCAGAGAAAACAGTAAGTTGTCCATGGTTTCCTGCTGCTCAAGTCAGGGCGAATAAGTAAAAGTATTTTCAGCCAGTAGCTTTCTTATTGGTTCATGATTGCCCTTTCATGTCTGTTTACCTCATAGTATATCATCTCCACAATTTTGTATTGGTTTCTTATATATCATATTCCTCTCTGTGGTGCACCCGATATAATAGGCCCATGAATAATTTCCTTTCCATTCTTATCTGATATAATAAATTCACTCACTTTTTCTACAGTATAATTAGAAGCTTTGTGGTTGAAAAATGCCCCCTCCCCAGCATGTTTCAGGTAAAATTTGTTCTGTACCTACACATGCATGACTTCATTCAGAAATCAGAAACCAGAGGCTAGGCACACCTGGGGACAATGAATATCTAAGGAATGTCCATCATAGTGAGCACAACACATTTTTCATCCCTGTCAAGATTTTGATTAGGTTTCCCTGTTGTAATCAGTTAAATTTAGTGCAGCTTCTATTACTTCTATGGGTTTTCACAGCTAAAATGCTCTTTGCATGAAAGTGAATAAGGGTTCAAAACATATATTGCGATTCATGCTCTTTTTAGTGATCTTCAAGGCTAGCAAAAAACCACCCTCTGGGACTTTGAACTGTGGATTTTGATTCTCACTTAAGTTCTGTGCTAAAATGTCTATTTTTTCCCCTAATTAGTAGTCAGCACACAACAGTCAGATAGATACATTTATTATGACTGTACTGTGTGAGACCATAACAGCCTGATCATAATTATGATTACTCAAAAATATGAGCCACTCATTTCAGTGAGATTTACTGTATGCTTTGTAGTATGCTTTGGATCACAGACTACACATTTCCCAATGGTAACAACATAGCAAGTCATGTCTCAGAGCTGGGATGTATTTTGTAGGTCTATACATGTGCTCCACTTAGGGTTCCTGCTGTTATTTCTGGCAGTGTATTAACATTTCTGCCAGTGTATTAAACTCTAGTTGTAGACTTTTTGACAAAAATATATACATTTTTGCAACCTTTTAATCTTTGAATTTTTAAAAAATCAATAAATTTGCAAAGCTGCTTGATGTTACCAGGTCTTGTTCTTCATTCTGCACCCAGCACTGCCTTATAGTTCAGTTCAGGAGGGATGGTATTTTTGAAATCTAAAATGGGCAATCCCAGCTATATTTTCTTACACTATCTCTTACATATAGCTTTTCCTTTCAGTTTCAGATTGAATGGAATGATGATACTGCACCTTTATGGGGAAATATTACACATTTAATGGATGGATAATTTCTTCTGAACAGTATTCTATGACATGATAGGATAACCTGTCCTATGCTTTCTTGTAAAATGTATGTATTCTACCTTTATCTTCTTTAGAAAAAGAACACTCATCTGGGCCACGATCAGACAAGCTATTAGTTCTGATGTCATTACTTCTCCCTACCAGATTTTACAGGCATGTCCAGACAGCCACATCTGTATAGTGTTTCTCACTTGTAGGCCACTCATCTTCACCCCTGACTTTGCCAACACTTGAAAAAGTCTGGTGGAAGCTGATCCAAGTAGTCTCACCACATATTTCCGGATGTCTGATCACTGTGCTGCCATTAATCGCCAATGCACATCTGTGTTCAGGGCGGAAAGAGTTGTGGTCAACGGCTTATGCAGTTATTCTCCAGTAAAATACCTTCAGTTTAAATATAAGCCCACTCAGTGCTTGTAAAACACAACATCTGATTGGGGCCCTGGAGCGTGATTACTTAAAATATCAAATAACTCAAAAGAAAGTTCAGACTACTGATTTCCATGTCAGACCTATGTTTCAAGATATTGAAGTTTCTTGAGTTTCAAGATATCTAAATTCCTTGAGTTTTGTAGTAAGCGAGCAGCAAAGGGGCAGTGGCTCAGTGGAAGAGCATCTACTTGGAATGCAGAAGGCCTCAGGTCCAGTCCTTGGCATTTCCATTTGAAAGGATCAGGCGGTAGGTGATGTGAAATATCTCAACTTGAGACCCTGGAGAGTTACTGCCAATCTGAGTTGATGTTGCTAAACCAATGGTCTGATTCAGTATAAAGCAGCTTCATGTGAGGTTTCATATGAGCGGAGAATAATATAAGCAACTTTGGGTCCACACTGAGCAGAAACGGAGCATATAAATGAAATAAATAGATTAAGTAATTAACCTGGCTTAGCTTCAACTACCCATGCAGTCTGAAAATAGTGTTTGGGAATACTTCATCTCCGCAACAAATCTTGCGACCATTTCTGACTCCCACTTTCACTTTCCATGCTGCCTCAACTCAGATCCTTGGGAAATGCAAACAATTCAGGCAATGAACACAGAACTCCATCAGAAAATCCATATGTGGTCAGAAGAACTGGACTTAACTACAAAGTAGTCAGGGCTATCATGCCCCTTTAAAAGAAGACACGTTTTTATTATTTATTTATTTGGTTATTTATTATTTGTATTTGTATCCCGCCCATCCCATGAATGGTCTCAGGGTGGGCAACATCATTTGTAATAAATACAATCAGCGTTTAAAATTTAAATGAAAAACAATATAAAACATTAAAATTGATAGTTACAACTAAAACAGAAATTCAGCTGGGTATGAGGATTCT